CTAAATAGTTTCTTTATAGCATAAGTGGCAACAAGGTGTCAGGTTTTGGGGAGAATGGTTTGTTTGTTATTCTTATTCTTTATTAAGGCTTAATAAAGATTCAAAGTAGCTGAAAATCTCAATTTTTCCAACTTTTCTGGCTGTTACCATGGCAACCAAGACACATAGCAACGAAATTTTATTTGATATATGTTTCTGGTGTCAAGTTGTAATAATGGGCAAAGTTTCATCAAAATCGGTGACCATGCGTGGCAAAGAAGTTTAAGGATATCCAATCCTCAGGCAGGAAGGATAACTCTTAAATTTATTACTTTATTTAAAAAGTCTCAAAATGAAGCTTGAAATTGAGATCTTTTCGTGCAACAATTTTCATTTTATGCATCTTACTATGATTCAAGGTTCTTTGAAGTCTTAGAAACGGTCTTGTAAAAAGTTGAAATTTGTACCCCACAAAAGAAAAAAATGAATTCATTTTTAGAGAAATTGAATTTCCTTTAGTCTAGCATTAGTTACTGCTGATTTTAGCATTGTATGAAATTAGATGTGATATGTGATGTCTAGCAATGATAGCACAAGCTTTTTACACTATTTATTATACCACAATTGAAGTAAAAAGAGGAACTAAAATACTGTATAAGCATAAAAAAGATACAATTTTCTCCAAATGCATGGATACCTATATTTTTCTATCCTAAATTATATTTGTTAATCAATTTTCAATTAGAAAATGCATATCTGGTGTTTTTATTCGCATTTCCTGAAAATATATTTGAGATTTAATAAATAGAGGATATTCAATGTTTTGTAGATGAATATGGAATTTATTTCACGAGTGGGACAGGATTTTTTGATATTTTCACGAGTGCGAAGCACGAGTGAAAATATCAAAAAATCCTGTCTCACGAGTGAAATAAATTCCATATTCATCTATAAAACATTGAATTTTCTGTTTATTACATTTTCTTTGATTTTCCCTTGGCCTCTGTCTTTTCTTAACACAGTGTCATAGGCTTGACGTCATAGTTAAGCGGTTGAGACGTCATAGCTTAGAAGTTGTTTGTCAGATTGAAAACATTACATAGCATGGATTTTAGCAACATATTTAGGAAGAAATTTGCAGTTTTAGCTCTATCAAGATGCGTAGTTACTACCTCTATCTTATGACAGGCCAGAAATTATTTTTTACTTACTTTGATATCCTTTCACACTGTGAGAGAATATCATTTTTGGTATTCTTTCACACTGTGAGAGAATATCACTTTTATTCAATAAATAAATCACAGTATTTCACTGTTGAAAATGTAATAATTTTCCCTATATAATATGATTAACTATAATAATGAACTTTGAAGAAATTCCATGGGTAAAATCGCGTTATTATGTGAAATCAGAGACATTTTTGTGAGCATTTTCAATTACTTAAAAGCTGATTTTCAGAACCTGAGGATTGGACTACCTTAAGTGTTACAGAGAATCGCTATTTAAAATATCTACTTCAGAGTACTTGTGTGTACAATGAGAATGTTTTTTTAACAAAATAATTTTGCAAATGACCAATGACAAGGTAAGTAAATTTACAAGTTCCATTTTTATTGAAAAAGCAGATGTTTATGATGTCAAAAAGCCTGGACTTTAATTTATAGTAAGGAATAGTTGTATAAAGTGTTGAAAAGTCGTACGTTTTGATGCTATTGATTTTGGTAAAATATGTGATTACAAATTTTCTAAAAGTTGCTTGAAGTTTTTAAGAATTCACATCTGATTTACACCACTACTCGAATATATTGTTGTACAATACTCCTTAAGTTTCTCCTTCACTGCTGTTAATAGTTTAAGTATAATGAGGAGTAAAGAAAGGGGCTTCGTAGAACATTTACTGGAACCCGCTATGTATCTTTGTAAGGATTTTTATGAAGTTTAGGGATCCAGTATAGGTATGGTAATTCAAATTCATTTTGGGAATATTAAAAACACAGAAGTGTAAAGTGTATTTAAAATACGGACATATGATTTGGAATACGATGATTTAGCCACCTGAGGAGTACAATATTCACCGAGCTCGAAGGGCGAGGTGAATATTGTACTCCTCAGGTGGCTAAAACATTGTATTGACCAATAATTGTTTATTATATAGGTAGTGACTGTTCCTTCGCTAGGCGCATTAGCAGTGAAAGTCACGGGTCTTTCGGATGAGACCTTAACAGCCGAGACCCCCTGTCATGGTAGGCATTGGCAACATAAGAAATTCTCACTGCTCAATGATCCCTGCATGCCTAGTAATGGTCTAAACTGAAGCCCTTCACCGGTATATGGTGGCGACTCGTATGAGTGAAAAATTCTCGCAAGGGACGTAAAATAAAAAAAACTCGATCAATCAATAAAAGTAATAGTAACTGAAGTATATTCACCTATATTGGTCAAGTTTGTTCAGGTAGAGCTCAATGTAACACAGACAAGCGCTAAAAAATAATTAAAAAAAGAAAACTTTTCCTTCATTATAGAATTTCATATCAATTACCGCTGATTGCTAAGTGTAGCGGGGAAATAAATCCTTTTTATCCGCCAATGCGTGTTAGCAACGTTTCATAGACGTCATATGACAAGTTTGCACAGGCAATTCCATGGTAAAGTTTGGTAAAAAAAGAACCAAATATAACTAAGACTCAGATGATGGTGTACTTACAAGCACTTTCTCTGTTATGTTTTCATTTCAGCTGGTGAGTTGATTTAAATTCATTTTAAATAATAATAAGAAGAAAATCAAAATTTTATATTATTTAAATTATAGTTCTGAAGTGTTTCGTTTTATTTTTATATTCTTTATCATAAGTAATTCTTGATCAGACCAAATTACACATCATTATCTAAACTGAGTTGTATAAGGGATGTATGAGGGTTCCAAATATTGTCGGGATGGACGGGGAGCAAAAAGATTGAATTTTGAAGAAATACCATAGGTAAATACACATTAATTTGAGAATTATAGACATTTTTGAGAATATTTTCAAGTGCTCAACTCCTAATTTTCAGAACATGAGGATCGGACTACCTTCATAAATTTAGATTTACTAAAATAAATATTACTGTTATATATAAAATATAGCTACACGAGTTTGAAAATTTCAGAAAGTTTGTTTGTTCGTTTAATTTTGGTTACTTTTTTATTTTCTTCGTATTTTATAGCTTTGGAAATGCCTTTAAAAAAATAAAACGGGAAAGCGAATTTTGAAAAATTATCAAAATTTTGTGAAATCCATAGCCAAGGTTTAATGTGACATTACATAAAGCAGCCTCACTCGTGTTCGATGTAACGACGATATTGACCCATGATACTAGACCGTCAATCATACGGTAATGCCGTATCTGGACTATGTATATTACACAAATTATTGTTTTAAAATCTGATTTTCTCCAGTCTCTTAGGCGATTAGACATTATATAAAATATAAACCAGAAAATAATTTGGTTAGCTTCGCCAATAAAGACAGGGGAAAATGAAATATGACTTTAGTTATTCCGGATTATTAAATTGTATTCGAGTTTGTTCTTTATCATACCTTCATATTAACTTGCTAATTCAATAACAACTGAATAATGTCCAGTTATTCCGCATTGCGTTATTTTTCCACATTGCTCAATGGGATGGTTTTTGGGGTTTAAAAATAGTGGCCTGTATATTGACTACAAGTCGTGAATTGCAAATTAAGTTTTTTTTTTTTTGCGTGATAACCTCAAAACAAAGCTACAAATTATGCAACTAGCAATATATCTTCCATTTCAGTTTAAATATCAGATGCCCGGTGGTAAAGTAGAAACATGTAATGTGAAAATATATATATACTCGGACTTTGATTTTTCTGTAATCAGATGGATAAACTAAATTATTTAACATTCTAATTCGTGAGGATCTTGATGTATAAAGTTAAACACGCAACCTAATAAAATATCTAGATAAAACGCACTGAATATAAGTGTTGTCTTGGTGCAATGCCCAATATTGAACATTAGACAGACCCAAAGGTCCCTAATATAACTGAAAGCATGTTCTATATATACATATACCTATACTGTAAACGAAGAAAGTGAAGTTAGTTGTATCGATACTACTACTAACTCTCAAAAGAGAATTTTGTTAAAAGTAAGGTTAACTAAATACTGGACATCATTCATATGAGGCCTCTAGTAAAATTATTTAAAATGATTATTATTGCATTAAATGGGCTTAATTACTATAATTTGGACAAGATGGTCTAAATACTGTATATGTACAGACTGTAGTCATTGTTAGAAGGATCTGTGAATCTCTATTAGGAGTTCCGAATGACAATGTCAGAATATGGGCACCGCAAAGCGGAGCATCCACTCGCAAAAGAGCAAACAGTGTATCAATCCTCATATGAATTATTACTGTGAATCAGGTATATAAGGAGCGTAGGGACGTTAACCGAGGCTCTTACTTGTAGGAGTATGTACGTAGGTAATTCAAGCTACGTAGCTAAATATGATGTTAACGAAAATTTCGAACCCGATTACACACAACTATATTATAATTTACACTTGGAAAAGCAAAATACTATATTTTATTATCCTCTCGTTCAGTTTTATTTATGTGATTGGAATATGAGAAAATCACACATATGTCAAGGCAACATTCGATCGGGTGCAAATCACGTCATTTCCGTTTCGCACAGGACAATCTAACCATCCACAAACACACAACTGTGTTACTATATCCCCTCCAACTCCGTTGCGAGGGGATAACAAGCGCAAATCTGTGAACGGTACGCGCAAGCTGAACTAATGATGAACGCACGTGATGCGGTGAACGTATGAAAAAAGGAAAAGTAGAAAGTTTCAGGTACTGAAACATCCTCAGATGACCACTGCGTTTATTATGACATAAGTTCTTACTTATACATGTAACTCAGGTTACTGTAGTTATAAGAAATCATGTCTTGCATTGTTTTAGATTTTTTTCTTGACAAATAATCAACCTAGCCTTGCTGTGTACATAAAAATATTTATTTGGAAGCTTTGAAAGCACTGTCATACATATTAATTTACATGTAACAAATATACAATTTTTTGTCTTGTCAAGTCAAAATTTAAATATTCATCAAAATAAAAATTCAGACAGAACAACATCATGTTGGATTTTCATAACTCTCAACTAGCTCTAAAACTCCACAGGATTTAGAAAATGCATGATTGTTGCCATAAAATAATTTGGGGGGGGGGGCATAAAAAAGGAAATAAGAGGGAGAGAATAAAGAAAATAATAGAAGGCATCATTTCACAAAAAAATAAAAAAAAAAACACCCTTAAAATGTCAAAAAAAAAAACCCTTACTATCATATTTCAAATCTTAAACATACATATGAAAAAAATGAAATGCATATCCATGAAAATCCATATGCATTTATATCTACAAAATTTCAAAGACATCACAAAAACAAATTGTTTAAATAGATAGATGCATTTCATTTATCTTAATTTCATCCACTGAAAAGTAAATATTTACTATGGACTACTTAAATTCACAATTTCAAATGTGGTGCTAGGCTACCATGTACACAACAAATCTCACAGACAACACCAACATGCACAAAACTACCTGTAGTGCATAGAAAAAAATATTATAAAACAAACTGATTTCTAACTTAAATAAAAAAGTATACCAAGAGATCATGACTTCTCCTTGCCCATAGGTGCAGATTCAACAGGGGGATTATTACAATAGATATGAAGTTATAAAAGACAATAAGTAACCAATATACCCAGATAATGTTTGGACTTTCATTGTCAAACCCCCCCCCCCCCCCCCCCAGATTGTTGCTATGATAGATGTAGTAGTGAAAATGTCTGAAGCAATACAAGAGGGGTGATCCTGTAAGTATACATTAGCTTACATTAGCTTAGTATCAATTCCATTTATTACAATGCACAGAAATGTACCAAAGAAGATGGGTGTATTTGGTGTGTAATCTGCAGGCTTCATGTATACGACTAATTCATAGTTTATTAGCTGCAATAATTTTTTTATCTAATGTTTTCTGGAAAGGGCCTCTCCCAATAAAAAAAAATCGTAGAGGGCTACATTATTGCAGCTAATAGTTTATATGTGCAGAAAAGCAAAAAATTGGGTTTGCTGAGCTCAGCTGGACAGACTTTATGAAAATAATTAAAAGTGTACACACAGGAAAATGTAACATCTTGTCAGAGAATGTAATATTTAAGTCAGCTCATTTTAACAGTTATGGCATTAAATAATATCACTTCACATAATTAGTAAAGAATTATAAGGTACATGTAATAGGGTAAAGTTAAATGCAAATGTATTAAAATTTCAGTGGGTGGGAAGAATTGCTTTCACTCTCTGTGTAACATAATCAAAATCTAACTTAATTTTAAAATTTACTAAATCAACAAGTCAAATCAAAGCAACAAACTAAGTTTTTGTTAACAAAAAAAAAATGTCTGGATTGAACCAAAAAGTATTGATTCCTCACCACCACATATACATGTACCACTGAGCTATCATCGCAAAATCTGAATTTTAAAACAGCAATGAAGCACTGCTTTTAAACAACGTAATTTTTCCCCAAAACCTTATTTTTTATAGTCTCTGGGTCTTCTCTCCATTTTTAATAAACATTTGCACGTTTTGCTGAATTAAAATGCACACAAATAACATTTTTTAAAAATAGTGGAGAGATGATCGATCTTGAGACAACAAATTCATGGAAACACTTGATTTAAAATGCTAAATTTATTCCAAATGACCCATGTAGCCAGTTTAATTGCATATTTTAGCAAATCAAAACGCAATATTGGAAAAATATTTCCCTTTGCTATATCGCAGAAGCCTGACAAATCAATAGAGTGCTAAAATATATGGATTGGTGTGAGGGTTGTTGAAATTTTCTTTTTTCAAGTGTACCAAGATTCCTGCCAAATCCATATCAAATGTGCCCTTATTCTTCAATTTATATTAACACATTTTAATGATTACATATATATATTAGCCTTCAATGTTTTAATAATACAGAAATGAAATTCTATTTTAAAATTAAGAACAATGTCTAATTAGAGGAAAAATTAGTAAATTTTACTGATTGTTTATGGCAACTGACAAAGAATCTAAGTTCAGTTTCAAATTTGATAGATATATACAAGTTAGAATATTCAACTTCAAGGATCACAGTTTATCAGTTTGTGACAATGTCATAACAGCAGTAATACAAACATTTCTCATCATTAGAATCTAATAAAATATAAAATCCAAATAAAGTTCAACATCCAAAACAATTTATAAACACGATGTAAAGGCTTAACAGAGATTTATCATATAAAGTGATGTCTAGATTAAAATAATCTATAGGTTTGTTGGCTGACCAAATCACCGAGGTTGCAAAATGATACAAAACTGACTCTGCACCATAATAAAAAAAAAAATCATGCAGATTTCACACTGAAAATAATAAATACCTGAGGCTGTCTAACTGTCATCAAATATTATTAATGTAAAATCCAATTACTCTGTTGAATGAACATTACGCTGCTTTTTCATGTTCTACCTCCATTTCACTTCCACCATAATGCCCGTTAGAAATGTCTTGTTTCGCACAAATTCTTGGGAACCAACCTCTCTCTCTTTCTTTTGTTTGACCTTTAAAATATTTTACTTATATCATAGCACATGAGTATCTGTGCTACATAAAGACATATCTCAAACTTTCTTCTGTCAATTTTAATTCATTGGAATTTCTTGTAAGCAACAGAAAAATTCTTTTAAACAATTCCTCATATTTTACCATGAATTGAGCATTTTTTTCAATTTAAACTTTAAAATTAACATGTCATTATATTACTTTTAAAAGTTTTAAATAAAGTATGACTCACCTTTTAATTTTCCCTCCAAATTTACTTTTGTTCCATATAACCAGTGCCTAAATATAAATTTAACCACACACAATGAACTAAAACAAGTGGGCAATGAAAAAAAAATCTGAATACATTTTTGTAAATGTAATAATTATTAAAGTTGACCTACTTTTTCCATCGTGTGACCCTGACTCTGTCTCCTACTTTCACTTTTATTCTAGGTTCATCAGTACAAGGGAAATTTATACAAACTCTCCATCCCATTGTGATGGGAAACCAAGAACCACTGAAGTCTTTTCCAATCACATACTCCACAGTTCTCTCTCTTTTTAAGGCCTTTTGATTTATTTGTTCAATCTACAATACAATTCAATGCAAATTAATACATGTAATATGATTACCAGTAACTTACTCTTAAGCTTGATTTTATATGTACTGTGGTATTATAAACATCAATTTACAGTTTCTTGATAATGTTTTACAAAGAAATTAAAGATAAGAAGTTATATATTCAAACAGTGTACTTACAGTAAGTGTAAACTGATTACATTCTTGGACTATATTCCATGTAAAACCGTCAGATTTTGGTTTGCCATTCAAGGTGAAAACTTCACATATATTTTTCCAACATCCGAGGTTATAAGGATAAATAAACTCTCCTTCCTCCTCATCTCTCTCTCTGTCTTTTGCCTAAAACCAGGGAAGAATATATACTTTTACACTTGTATATTTATACCTGCACATAAGTGTCATTTCTACAGATATAATGTAGATATCAACTATCCCATTAAAACCACATATATATATGTTAAACAAATTCCCTAGAATGCTCAACAGCTTCTTCTCTTTGAAATTGAAATGTCTCAATAAGAATTATTTACATACAGAAATAGGAACATGGATTTATGAATAATTAATCTGACCTTTTCTATGATCCACTGCTCTATTCCAGTTTCATTTTTTATTATGGACTTCATCTGAAAACAGTCATTTATCTGCTTTGTAGAGACAAAGATGACAAACTTTTGCAAATTCTGTGATTCAACACGTCTGATATACATGTATCTGTATTGTAATTTAATGCTTACTTGTATGAAAAACAGCATGCCCACTGCAATTGTAACCCCAATGGCAAGGCCTATAGAAAACATTGCACAGATAAATCCTACAAAGTCCAGGTGAACCACAGGCTCATTTGTATAGTAAAAGTAGTACTGCTGTAAAAAAGAAATGGATCATTATTTGTTAATGAAACTGAAATAAGTTTTTAACAAATATATGACAAAAATAAGACATATCAATACACAGAATGGGTGCATCATACTTTTAAGATTTAAAGAAATCTGGTGCATTTTTCCTCAATTGATTTGATAATTTACTCTTTTTGTAATTTTTGCTGAACATTTTAATTTTACTGTACACGTTTCAAATGATTTAAATTATATCATTTAAAAAAATCTCTGTGTATTCCAGTAGTTATTACACTTACCCAATTTAAAGCCCTATATACAGAACATATTAAAATGATAGCAGCATGAATACATCCAATCGGAGCAAAGAATAGAAAGTAGGTAAAGTTGGCATGGTTAAAATGTCCACAGCAGGTGTTTATCCAAGGACAGTGATGGTCCATCTTTATTACACATCTGTAAGTATTAGATATGTGACAATTCAAATAAATTCAATGTACTTAAACCTTTCCAAGACTTGTGCAGTCCTTTCATTTTGCAAATGCACTGAATAAAGTAACACTGCTTTCCTACAAGATTGTGAGGCATGTACAAATGTTTAATGCTTTATTCCACCAATTTGCATCTAACCTGTTGCATTTTCTGCAGTGGTGTGCCCTGGGACTTTTATATCCTTTGCAAAATACACAGTACTGTAGATATTGTGTCTCTTCTTCATTTTCCTGTTTAAGAGAATTCATGAACAATAGATAATATGTGTGTAATGTGTCATACTGATTTATATTAGATTATGTTTACATCATTTTATTGTTTGCAAATAAAATCCCCCAAAACCTCAAAATGTGAATGAGATTTTTCATAAAATCTGACAAAGCATGAAAAGCAAAAGGGCTTTGTTTATTGCAAAAACAAACTTTACTGCATCTAGAAACATCTAATATACACGTTAATTTCTGTTAATAGTTTTGAAAGAAATCCATTTTCAATTCACAATGACAGAAATTTTGCAGAAAAACGACCAATTCATGATTTATGAACATTGTAGGCCAATATGAGCCAAACTCTCCAATAAGCTTTTCTGATCTAATTTTTTTCTGTTTCTCTTGGCATTGTAGTAATACCTGTCATCATTATAAACTTTCCAAATTTTCATTTTTTTTTCTACAGACCAATTAATTTTAACCAAACTTTGCACAAAGCATCCTTGAGTAAAGGAAGTTCAAGATGATTCAAATAAAGGGCCACAGCTTCTTTCAAGGGGAAATTATAAATAAATAGCAAAAATAGGGTGTGGTCGTTGGAAAATTTTCTCAAGAACCACTTGGCCAGAAAAGACAACACTTAAATGAAAGCTTTCTTAATGAGTTTAGATTTTATTTTTTCATATCAGGACTCCTGGGGTAGGGTGGGCCACAATAAGGGAGAATTACAAGGTAATATAAATAATTAAGAAAATATCTTTAAAATCTCTCTTCTATGAACAATAATTAGTCATATTGATTTAAGTAAACATCCTCATGTAGTTGTAGTTTAGAGTCTCCAAACAATGAACCCTGGGGCAGAGCACAGGCACCTGACATATAGATAGTGAAGAAATTGCAGATAGATTAACAGTGATTAAATGCTCTTCATAAAAAAAATTACAGTTTATTTTTACTCCAATCTGGAAATGCAACTAACATAATAATTATGTGATGTCACAGTCTTGTGTGCTCTAACTTTAACTTTCCAAATGTATCATGCAGTTTGAAGAGGCAAATCTAAGATTAAAGTGGGTTAAATGTGCATGTTTTTTCTTAAAAAATAATATCTAGTAATTCTTTTGTAACTTCACTCAGTAATAATAAACACTGAATCATAAATAATACATTTTCTATTTTTTGCATTTTGCACTCATTGCTATGCATAAAGTCACTCCAATTTTATTTATATGTACTAGTACACACTTTACAATCTTCTACATCATTCAACAAAACTTATGAAGTTTTCAATCTGACAAGCAGCTTGTCCAACTGGCTCAAGAGCCCTTTATTTTACACCTTGATAAGCAGCTTATCAAGTACTGCATAAATCAATATGTAAATATATATATGTATATAAATTTTTCATAAAATCAAACTTTCCCGTGCAAAGTTTGAATGCCAGAATGAATACCAAACCAATCGAACTTAACTTCCCTTCATAACCTTAAGCCAAACCCGTCATTATTATTCATGTTCCCACAAAAGAAAATAATTTTATTCTAATTCACCAGGTTCAACCGAAATAAATTATATTAATACTTAAGTGTGCTAACCCTAACAGTCACACAGTCAAACATATTAATGAGGCTAGCTTTGTAGTGGATCAGTTTTCTCTGGACAATCTGAAGTTTCTTATTTGATTGCAATGAAGACCAACCCAAAACATAAGCAGACTGAACTCCTGTCACTGCCACATTTGGATATTGCAAGTGAATATACTGTAATTATGAAAAATGACTTACAGGTCTCCAACCTAATGGTACAAATCCTGGACCTTTGAATGCTGCTAGGAAGTAGTTGTACAAAATAAGAAATAACCAAGTAAAGTATATCATCAAGTTTATCCAACTTCCTTTCATGTGAACAGGCCACCACATTAAAGAGCATTTAAACCCAACCACTGTGATGATGAAGATGACTGACAGTGCCAGAATGGGGCCCCAGTGTAATAGCTGTTTTATGCCTGGCATGGTTACTTCCGACTAGGTTATCATTTGATACCTGTAAATAAAACTAAGTATATAGGAAACTTCACCTAACACTATCTTAATCAATCTGCAAGAGAAACTGATACTGAATGCATATCTTTCAGAATTTTAAGCTTTCAAAAAAAAAAAAAGAAAAAAGGTTCATACAAAAAGATCACCGAATGATTCTCTGCTTACGGCAGTTACGGTTTTACCCTCCCTGGAAACTTGAAAATCCGTACAAATAGTAGGTAATGGATAGAGATATCTCGAAAGAAATACTTCACGTCTTCTCTGAAATCGCCCCTTTTAAAAACGTTTACAAAATTAAGATTTTTTCTTCAGAGGAGCTCCGAATGGAAAAGAAATTAAAGAGTTCGTAAAGTGTTTCGTTCATTATTTTGAAAACTGATGAACAAGTCTGGCTTAAGTTAAATCAATTTAATCAGTTGTTAACAACTAAGCTATATCTTTAGTGATTCTAAAGTGTGATGCAAATACTTCACAATAAGCACAGTTTCGACAATAATAAGCTCAGGTAGAATAATTTATAGTACGATATATTTATAATGGTTTCAAGATGGCGCAGGATGCAACCGAAATCAGGAAAAAATTATTTAGATCTCCTATGGTTGAGGGCGATAGGTTAGCAGGTAACTGACTGTAGCTTAAGGCATTTTATTATGACATTCCCGATAAACTTATAACTATTTTAGCTGTCAATAGACTCATTAATTTTTTTTTCGCTCTGACCACCAGGTTGTTTGTTGTTAATGATTGAAGCATTTCTTCCTATTAAATAAAAATAAATGATTAATATGTTGACGGCGCGACCGTTAGGGCGAGCGCAGATACCTATATTCAGTTTTAATTCAGATCGGGCTCTTCAAACCGACATTTAGTACGTCTGGACTCTGACGTCACATGACGTCGCTTGTAAGTTGCATTACCAAAACGAAGTCTGAACAGTGCTTACTTTAATAAAGAAGGTTTAATCTACTATTTATCTGCTATATATCCATCAAATCAAGGAACTTTTTGTTACCACGATTACGTTGTTTGCGGAGAGATGTAATTCACAAAGCATTATGGGACAGCACGTTACTGCAGAAAAAAATTCAATATGATCAATATGCACAGTCCGAATTTTCTCTTCGCCCAGGCATTGCTTTAAGAGCTCGCACTGACGACCGGCGCTTTGCACCGCTCACTGCGCTCGCTAGAAGGTCAAATGTCATTTTTCATTATTCTTTCTCCATACAATGGTAGATTATAAATGAAATTTGCTTAAATACCTTCTAGATCTAATAAAATCAAGTGATAGGTACAGTCTACCTCAGACAGCGATGTGTGACTCAAGGGAAACATGACAGCCAAGATAAATTTTCTGTTAGGAAGGATAACTCCTATCTATAACCCGTTTCTTTGTTTTAGTATAGCAAAGCATAGAACATGAAAAAATGGGATGCATTTAAATTAAACGTATTCACTACATGTATATATAATATCATTCATAAGCAGATGTTGCCATTATTTAAAGTAATGAAACTACATAGAACATATCTAATGTGAAAATATGTGATGTATGTAGAACCAAATTATAAACAACAGGGAGGTAATAAAACACAAAATCACCACTTCAATATACATGTACTTAAAAAATGAGTGAAAAAATTTCTCTGTTCGAACTGCAATTTTACATAAAAATATCTATTAATTATATTTTGCAATTTTTAATCGATGATGCAACTTGAAGCAGCCAGGAATACCTTTGCAAATAATTTTTTTCTGTTTGACGAAATTCATAATACGTGCATTTAGAATGGTTTTTTGTTAGCATTTCAAGTTGCAGTTGATTAAATCTGAGTAAGAATAACTTTCTATGAACCTACAAAAATTATAATTACCTTGTTCGGACAATGTCATACACCAGGGAAGCGTTACAAGTAGAATTCATGACCCGGTGTATTGCTTGTCTACTCACTAGTAAAAAAATGTCAACAGGTCACAACTTCGCTGATTTAGAGTTATCGTTCTTTGCCTCCCCCTAGCTTTCAGTACTTCAGTACAAATGCTAACCAATGCTAAGAAGATAGACGACTTTCACATTTACAAAAGTTATTTCCCTTTGCGGGGTCAACCTGGGATCAACTGGCGTAAGACACTGTTTTTTCTCCTCTATGTCACTGCCATCTTTATGGGGCAATGTCTTACAGATGAAATCTGAATGAATATGTTTGTTATGTTTTTTATGTTGTTCCATACTATGGCAATACAGGAACAGATTAGAATTGTCCGATAGCATTTAAAGGTTAAAAATATTTACAGGTAAGTTACAAAGGTTATAGTGAGAAAAATGAGCGTTACGCCGACAATGGGAGATAACTCTTAGGAATGTGAAATTCATCTATTGGGAGTTTTAGAATTGCTCCACATGGACTTATAAAAATTTTCTTGAACAATGCATATATTTCAACTCTAATATATCTTCTGTTCGTACAAAATCAAAAGAGCTCGCTTCTAGAGCATCACTTGTCTTCATGTTGCTTGCTGCACTCACTATAAAATGTAGGTTATGAAAAGCATAATTGTTATAATGGTACAAATTTAATAAATGCTATATTTTTTTTCAGACAACAATACATCCATGAATCTAATGACAAGATTACATATTGAACATGATATGGAACATGTATTTAAAACAGTTAAAAAAGGTATATTTGCTTAAAGGTGCATAGACACAGATTTGAAGTTTACATTTTCTCAAATTTTCTGTATAATATCACAACTTATATGTTGCTATAGCATTTCACACGAAAATAAAATTAAAAACTTATTTAATCTGGAATTTATTGAAACTACGAATTTCGGGAGGCGTTTGATTAACACATCCTTGCATTTTTACAATTTTTAACTTTATCCTTAATACTTAAGAAAAGTAGCAATTTTGTTGTGTATTAATGAATAATATTACATCTATAATCCAGAAAATTCAGAGTAAAAAATGTGCGAAAGCAAAACCCACCTCACTTCAGTATTGTCAGCCCGTGCTCAATGTTGTGTAGTTGTGTACAGAGTTTAACAAATTGAATACACCCGTGAAACGTAAACTGTTTTTGTAAAAAGGGCACGAGCTCTGTTGTTGTTAATGTTTACATTTCACCGGGTGTGTTCAATTGTTAAACTCTGCACACACCACTGAGCACGGACTAACAATACTGGTGAGAGGATTTTCCTTTCTACATTTCTACTCTGAAATTTTTGCATTACAGTTTTAATATTTTTCATTAGTAAACAACAAAATTGCTACTTTTCTAAAGTAATAAGGATAAAGTTAAAATTTGTGAAAGTGCAAGGATGTGTCTATCAAACGCGTCCAGAAATTCAAAGTTTCAATAACTTCCAGATAAAATAAGATTTTTATCAAATTTTCGTATAAAATGCTATAGCAACATATAAGTCATGAAATTATACAGAAAATTTGAGTAAATATTAACTTCAAATCTGTGTCCAAGTACCTTTAATACGCAGCTTTGCAAATTCTGTGCATACGAATATGCAAAAAAAGTACATATGAAAATTTGATACCATGTTTATGTTCATGTATGACTACATCTTTCAAAAGTTTAAAATTTTATCTGTATGTATAAAAGATACTTTATAAAAAAAAATTATTTATATAATGTATTTTTATTATAATTTTGTATTAGATATGCATGAACAAAGGTTAAAGCAATTAAGACAGAAACTGAAGACATTAGAAGAAGATGATTGGAGATACCCTCCTGTGGAGAAGTTGATTGGTCTGCATTGACAGGCATGCATATAAAGAAAGGGAATGAGTATATACAGGGCAAATTCACAAACAAATAAAATCACAAGATCATGCCCAGAAGACTTCATTTTGATCAGTGAAGAGTGCTATGGAGCTGTGTAGTGGTGTCAAATGATTTCAATTTGACTTCATTTGAAAGAAATAACAAATTAAAGCACAGTCTTTTGATTAGTTTACCAGTGAAAAATTGTGCCCTGTTATCTACTTCTTTTGGTTGTACAGTATATGATATGAAGGGGAGTGAGAGTATAAAACTATATCTTTATTTTAGTTTATCTGTTTTTCTTGTATTAGAAAAGATGTACAATGTAATTTGAAAAAAAATATTCTCCTTCACTGCAAGATGTAAAATATTATATTATTTGTAATGTAAGATGTCTTTCCATTTTATACACAGTATTTTGATTTTAAGAATATTTTAAGTATTGTAAGAGTTGTCTTTCCTTTTACACATACTATACATGAATATCTTGATTTAAAGGAGGAATGCTACAAAATCAGATTAAAATCAGATCCTTTGATCCACTCACATAGATCGTAGCGATCTATGTGAGCGGATCAAAGGCTCTGATTTTAATCAGATTGAAATGCTAAATCAAAGTTTTATTTACCGGGGCAATGAATATTTAAGACATATTCCTTATTGAAAACCATGAATTAATTTTTTATGAAAATTTTAGAAATAAAATTATTTAAACTTGAGTACATACATGTATTATAATTAATGTAAGAGTACAAACAAGGTAAGAAACAGTCAATATCATCATTTTATTGATTGAAAAGAAAAAAAAGAGACATCTGCTCAAAAGAAAAGACCTGCCTATCACATGGAATTAGGAAATTTTTGGCCTGAGAAACTTAAAAAAAATTTTTTTTGGCCATACATATATATATAACGGTATTTTTTTTTTTCAGAGAAAATATATAAAATCTTTTGTCTTTGTTATTACATCAGATTGTAATTTAGACTGTAGTTTAGACTGGCTGATGTTTGTAACATCCATCCAGCTAAACTTTTAGTATACAAATACTTGCACCCCCAAAAAGGAATGATTGGAATCTTTGGCAGTAACAATAGAAAGGATAAGTATTTTTTGGACATTGAATGGCTGTATGGGTTCCTTTTAATCAACAAGTTTAAAATGAAACTGTTGTGATGTAGAGTTCTACAATCTATTTCCACTTGCTTCTTCATGGAAAACAAAATGACTTTAGTCTGCAGATTTGTATAGGGTTGTCTACTGTACATCTTTTTGACATTGCTGTATAATTATGCTGAATGAGAGACCTTCAATCCATATATCTAGCATTTACAATTATTTCCAGGTCCAAGATTTCCCAGATGTTCTTTATAGTCAGTCAAGTTGAGATTTGGCTATATTCATAGCCAATACACTGTATTTATAAGTTAATGCAAGAGCATGCTCCAAATATGATCAATTTTTTAAACCGATGCAAGCTACTGACAAATAAGTTAATGTTACAAGGATTTCAACAACCTCGTTTAAAATCAGCTTATTTTGCAAATTTTACGGTCGTTATAATGAGGTTGTTTGTAAATACAGCCTATTTTTGGGTCATATTTTGTATGAAGTGTCTTATACCATTTGTTAGGTCATTGTTTTTATACTAAATTTGATAACAGGGTACTCTGTCTACCTGATCAATACATATGGCTCACTGCAGGTGTGACTGGTCGACGGGGCACCCGATCTCACCTCTGGTGTTTCTAGGAGTTTGTTTGTTTGTTTGTTTGTTTTGCCCTGCCCACGATTCCATTTGTTTACAGGATTTGTGAGATTTATCATTGTTTGCTATTTTCACGTTTTACATTCAAGTAATCTTACTGGACAGAGCTTCTATACCAAAACTTGGGAAAATCTGAATTGCAAATCTTCTAATGTTGTCTACGGAATAGAATGTACCCTTTATGGGCTTATTTATGTTGGTAAAACCTTGGGTTCACTTAATGAAAGCATATAGAAAAGGCATAAATTTCAGGTTAACAACGGGGACCAGCAGCTTCTATACAAGAATTTTAGTTTACCTGATCATTCTATTTTGTCAATAAAAATTAGAATTCTAGAAAAGATTTACTATCATACTAATAGCCCATCACTGGGTACACAACGAGAAGAATACTGGATTAGATAACTAGTGACAGCCTTTCCATATGATAGCAATGACAATGTCGATAGTGTTATGAATCTTTCAAGCCTACCGTGTAGCAATGTGAATTTTTGACAATACAAAGAGACGTAAGTGTAGTCATGGACATCGGTCTTTCAATAAACCCATTGTACACGAGGTCTCCTTTGATTCACTACTACCTAACGTAAATATATATAAACACTGAGGCCTTCATCAGATTCGCATCAAACTTTACTCTGTCCTTTTGAAAGTTTCGAATAATCTATTTGTAAAAGTCAAGTAAAGTCCATATTTGGATTCCTCAACACCAGAATACAAGCGCGGATCTGCGATTATGGATATAACAAATCAAAGGCTTTTTAAACCACCACGTTTTACGGAAGAAAATACAGCTAAAATTACCCGTTTTTTCCTTAAACTTCAATATGCCAACAAAGGATTGACGCGGTTAATATAAGTAATATTCTTAATTACAATTTAAGAGTCCAGTCTTGTATTCCACCATATTTCCAATTGAAGACTACACCCTGTATTTCCTATAAATATACATCGACTATTGCTTCCAAACTTTTTAATTACAAGAAAACTTTACAGAGCCTGGATATTGAGCATTTGAAACATAATCCTACATCGTGTTCATGTTCTTCACACTACAACTAAAGTCCTGCTGGACATGGACTGGTGACGTAAATATAGTTAATAATGAGGACCTTAAGTCACTTATTTTAAAAGGGCCAAAATTTAGAGAACCCCGATCTTTCAACTTCAACAATCATAATTTCATAAATATTATGAATTCTGTGGAAGATTACGCCAGGCGATGGGCCAGACATGAAAAAGACATTGACACTCAGAATGGATTAAATGTATCAGATGTATGTTAAAATCTCGCATTAAGCGATTGAGGGGCATTATGAAAACCATCTATCCTTCTGTGTTCAATAATTCAGAAGTGAAAAAAGAATTAGACTACACGATCAGTATGTACTGGTCCCAGCTGACAAACAGGTAACAACATTGTTAGGCTCATTATTTTAATTGTATATTAGAAGAACTGGGATTTAATTCTACAAGTGGCAATCCAAATTGTACCCATATCTCCCTTTCTAAGGAGGAAATTCTTCAAAATCATATGTCAGTTTTGAATATTTTTAATATTCCCAAGAACCCAAATGAATTTGAATTACCATATTTATACTGGATTCCGAAACTTCATAAAAATCCTTACAAACAAAGATACATAGCGGGTTCCAGTAAAAGTTCTACCAAACCTCTTTCTTTACTCTTCACAAAAATATTAACAGCAATGAAGGAGAAACTTCAGGAGTACTGTGCAACAATATATTCGAGAAATGGTGTAAATCAGATGTGGATAAGGAACTTTTGAAAAATTTGAAATCACTAAATTTTACCAAAATCAATAACATAAAAACTTACGATTTTTCAACTCTGTATACAACCATTCCCCACGATAAATTAAAGTCCAGGCTTTTTGACATCATTGACAACTGCTTTGTCAATAAAAATGGAACTAGTAAATTTACTTACCTTGTCATTGGTCATTTGCAAAATTATTTTGTTAAAAACATTCTGATTGAACGCACAAGTACTCTGAAGTAGATATGAAAAGATGCTTGAGTTTCTGATTGACAACATATATGTGGTTTTTGGAGACCAGGTCTTCCAGCAATCTGTTGGAATTCCCATGGGTACCATTTGTGCCCCGTTGTTAGCAGACCTCTTTTGTATTCATGTAACCAGGTGTTAGTTATTGGATCCACCTACTTGTCTTATTTCCCTAAGCAACTGATCATAGTTTTGAATAGTATCGTACTTATGTCTAGTTTGGGATTTAAGTTTTTCACAACGTAATGAAGTCCAAAATTTGTGACGTAAGAGATCATTTTTAGCTTCCTTACGCAAATGATTATTGTCCATAGCTGTTTGTAAAAGAGACTCAATTCTACAACCAAAGGATGTAACATTTTCATTTGGTAACTGAAAAGAATTGAAAAACTCCTGCATAATCATTCCATTTGTTGAAATATCTGAAAACAATGCATCAAGTTTGTCTAAAATCTCACCAGTAGTTGCTTTTTCACCGAGAGGTATCAACATCTTTCTAGCTGTGCCTCTAAGGGATCTACGCATTGCTTGTAGCAAATGACTAGAACTTACCTCTGGATCACTCTGTAGACATCTGATCTCAAATCTCCATTCTGAATAACTTACATCTCCTTTCTGGGGTGGTTCATCACCTGAGAATGGTGGAATCTTGGGAATTACTTCTGTTGAAATAATTTGAGAATGTCCCATACTATGTCCTATATTCTGATCATCCTTTGTCTGATTTAAACTGAAAGTATCTGACAGTTTAGCTCTACCTCTTCCAACAAAATATGTTTTAGGTATTGCTCCATGAACTCCTTTGGGTGTGCTTATCTTTGGCAGTATATCATACTTACCACTTGCAAGTAACTTCTTAATCATGGCATCTTCAGAATCTATGTCCTCACCTCCTTCTGCGCCTTCAACTTTATTTTCTGTTTTTGACATACTTACTTCCAATTGCAGAAGAAAAAAACAACACGCAGAAAAAATCACAAACAGCCGTACCAGCTTGGAAATGGGAAACTATCCATCAGACAGCGTTTGAAAGCATCAAAGATTTACTTACCCAGCCACCAGTGTTAGCATATGCAGACTACACCAAGCCATTCATTGTACATACAGATTCCAGCAGTTACGGACTAGGCGCAGTTCTATATCAGAAACAAGACGGGTTAGATAAGGTAATCGCCTATGCAAGCAGAGGGTTAAGACCAGCAGAGCGAAACTATCCTGCTCACAAATTGGAGTTTCTAGCGTTAAAGTGGGCCATTACTGACAAACTACACAGGTGTCTTCACCTTATGTTACATTCACTATCATATCTCTGCTGTAACTATACGAGTGTCTCTAAATAAAACATTTCTGGCTCACATCTTGGACAAACTGCCACTCTCCGTATCTCTGTGGTGGTCTACTTACTCTAGATGTTCTTCTGGGAGGTGGTGTATTATATGTTGGTGAAATAACTGACACTGAAGATTCAGAATAGGAAGGTGGTATTGTAGAGTGGTCATAGAAAGAAGAACGACAAGTAGGTGGATCCAATAACTTACTGTTTTTCTTTAAAACCAACTTTTCTAACAAGAACTCTATCCCCTACTTCTAACTTTGAATTCTTCACTTTCCTATCAAAATTCTCTTTGTTTTTGTCTGCATTCTTCTGTGACTCTTCTGCTGCAACTCTGTACGAGTACTGTAATCTCTCTTGAAGTTTATGAACATAGGACTGGTGATCTTTTGCTCCTTCATTTCCTGGCTCTATACCTAAAAATGCATCAAGTGATAGGCGAGGGTGCCATCCAAACATTAAAAAATGTGGTGAATACCCAGTGGCATCATTTTTAATTGAATTGTAAGCATGTACTAAAGATGAAACATAAGATTTCCAATCTGATTTTTGATTTTCTTCTAAAGAACTTAACATTTTGATAAGAGTTTGG